AGAAGTTGCTTCATCTTACAGCAAGATTATTCTTACCATGAATAATCAAGACTAGAGTTTTAGAACTCAAATATTCAGGGGCGGGAGTGAATAGGGAATGGAGGAAAGGTTCAAGAATTACTCAGCTAAGTAGCACAAGAAACGCATGTGGCCATTTTCGGGGCAGCATACATGGTCATCTGTTACTAACAACTGTTTTTTTATCAAATCTGCCTATTCACCTGGTATTTCCTGGTTGCAAATTTACTTTTAGAAACAAGAAGTCTCCTTCAGTCATGTCCAAAGCAGCCTTGCACTGCTGGAGTTCTGCATTATCTAGGCTTAGCCTTGTTTTTCTTTTTCAAATTACATCCGTACTGTTAATTATACTGCTGTATAAGCAGCAAATGAATCACCTAGCCATCTTAAGCTGCAACTACACTAGAGATCTAGACTGAACCAAATCTTTTGGGAATCTAACTGCAAAATGGAAAGTCTTCTCTAAAATGGAAGTATCAACCATTTCCAATTATCTGCCAGTAAAGAGAATCAACGATTCTAAACATCCTCAGCTCACAAGGTGTGGGACTCTTCCTAGTCTTTATCAGTGGAGATCGTATGAGAGAGGCATCCCTACACAAGAATTACAAAGGATTTTAAAAAACCCAAATAAACAAACAACCTCAAACACCCTGGAGTAGTTCAAGATCTTAGACTGATGTCTTCTTGACACCACATTCCCTTATAGCAAGTTCATTCAGAACACCAGTGAAAATTATCCCAAATATTCTTCTACAGCTTATTAGGTGCTTAGATTTTTTGGCTTTTTGTAAGGAGATAAACTGCAAACGGGAACCCAACTAAAATTTTAGAAGTAGATAACAAAACATAACTGAACTTAGATCCATGACGTTTGATTTGGGACCTTCACAAAGCACACACGTGCAGGACTGGTGATTTCTAGATACAATCATTTTTTATAGTTTTAATTGAGCAAGGTGAAGAGATATAGACACTCAGGGAGGCAAAGACATTTCAACATGATGAAGCTTTACAAGAAGCAGAAGGGGGTGTTGGGGGTGGGCCAGAAGGAAAGAGAGGCAAAATGGGAAAAGGTATTTAAACAGAGTTTAAAAATCAGGAATTGTGTCTACTACCAACAAGCCCACAGAAGAAAGTTACTTATAATGATTAGAAATAATGCAGGACTTACTTCAAAGCACTTGAAAATAGCTGCTAGTAGCAGCTGTCAAACCTGCTCACACACCCCCATGACAGTGGAAGCATTAAATATGGATGCTTCTGGAACGTACCAAAAAGCTGTTTTGTAACTTGGCTTTTTTTGTTCAGTTGGTTTGGTTTTTAGGGATTTTTTTCAAAGCAATTAAGAGAGATATCAAAGTTTTAATACAGAGTTTCCTCCTCCTTCCCCCTCACAAAACATAAAAACCCCAAACTCCAAGCTGCAAACAAAGGCCCTGAGCTCTGCAGGATCCCGAGGTGGGTTACGGACAAATAATACGGTCAGAATAAAGGCCTAAGAGACCTTCAGCCTCATCTGCTCCCAACGCGCACAGGTGGAACAACTTACTGCTGCCATCCCTACTCCTCTGCCAGAGGCTGTCCCTGCTCTGCGGTGACAGACGAGCCTCCCCAAATCACAGCTCAGTGCCAGGCAAACCCAGACAGAGCAGGGCCGCAGCCGGCACCGCTGGAAAGGCCCTTCTGGGGGCTACTCCACCGGCCCGGCCACACGCACGGACTGAAGCCAGGAGAGGCCTAGCAACAAGCGAAGCTGAAGAAAACCTACTTATATCACAAATTCATGTGAAAGCACGCTTAAAAACAGATAAACTTTCAAGAAGCCCGAACAGAATATAGTGGTGTGGTGAGACACGAGCTGTGCCTGGTGCCCCTCAGGCGGTACCGCTCCCAACAGCCCGGGACACACACCTCCCCATCGCCTCTGAGGCAGAGCAGGGGCTGCCGGCAGCGGGTGAGGCTGACGGAGGAGCTCCGGGTGTGTGTGCCCCGCACCCGCTCCCAGAGCCCACTCCGCACGGGTCCCGCACGGACACGCGCGGGAGCGATGCCCGCCTGGTGCGTTCGCCCCCCCCCGGCGGGCAGACACCGGGCGCAGCCGCACGGAGCGGGCGCTGGCAGGGCCGCGGCCGGGGCTCGGCGTGGGGGCTGCCCCGAGGCGCTCCCAGCCCCGTCTGGCCGGGTGAGGGACTCCGGGGGGGGCAAAAAAAATAATTCCGGTGAGAGGCACGGGGAACCCTACAGACCCCCGGTTCGTTAGAACATCGACACCTGTCCCCGCCACCCGACACCGCACTCCCGGCGCCGCCCGGCTCTGCCCGGCCCGAGGGGAAGCAGCTCGGGTCCCGGGGCCAGCACCCACGGCCCCGCGCACGGCGGGCCCAGGAGGGGC